CGAAAGAAAGTGGTCGGGGCGGAGACTCACTGGCGGCTGCGGGGGAAGGCGCGTTGGCTGGCGGGGGAGGAGAGGGACGGGCGAGGCGCCCGTGCCGTGCCGAAATATATCAGTCCAGGCGAGCGAAGCGCGCTGGCAGGTGGGGGAGGGGAAAGTGAGCTGACAGCTGGCCGCGGAGGGGGGAAAGGGGCGGGCGCGGCGCGGTGTTGGGCCAGATGTGGCGCGCTGGCTGGCAAGAGAGGGAGAGGTGGGCGAGCTGCGGAAGGGGGCCGATGGCGGACTGGTGCCGCGCCGAAATAGAAGGGTCAAGGCGGAAGGGGCGCGCTGGCGGCGGCGGAAAAGGGCCGGGGAGCGACCGTTGCCGCGCCGATGTGCGTAGAGGTCAGCTGCAGACACATTGTGCAGGAGGAAAAGACGGTCGGGGCGGAGGGGGCGCACGGTGGGGGGTGGACTGTGCCGTGCCGAAATGGAAGAGTCGGAGCGGAGTGGTTGGCTGCGCGGGGGGTGCGGGAGGGGGGGCGCGGTGCCGTGAAACAAATGGAAGCGGAGACTTCGTATTATAATTTTGAACGAGTTATTTGCTGAAGGAACCAAGCCTTGTGATTAAATGCTGTTGTTCTGTTGTGCGACAACCGCAGCGGCGCGCCCGAATTGCCGAGCCACGTCCTGCGCTGACGCCCTGAATTCTCCTGTCAAGGAGCATCAACAACTCTCTGGAAACATGTCCAAGGATCGCCGTGCAAGGGGGGCCGACCGGGCCCTGGCCTCACATCGCCGCCGCATCCCCAGGGCTTCAAGCAGATCGCGCAGTTTATGAAAGCGAAGAAGCGGTTCTACTACAGCGAGAAGCGGCTTTACCAAAGCGAGGAAACGGCTTTGCTAAAGCGAGGAAGCGGCTTTAGCAAAGGCGCGCCGCTAATTGCAGTTCGCAAAAACGACGTTTTGCTAAAGCAAAGCAGAGCTTCAGTACATCGGAGAGATGGCTGGGGTAGAACTGCGCACAGAAATTTCGCCCCTCCCATAGAATCAGGCGCGGGACTCCAGGAACCAGGGCAGGGCGCAAGTTCGCCTGTGGGCCCGGGCCCCGTCGCCGCCATCGCCGCGATGTTCGTCGCCGCCGTCGCCGTTGCCGCCGTCGTCGTCACCGTCGGCGCAGACGCCGCCGTCGTCGTCGCCGTCGACGTCGTCGCGCATGTGCGTTATCACCAGCGGCGGGTCGCGCGCGACCGCGCGCGCCATTGCGCTTGGATCTCCGCTCCTCCGACGGCGGCCCAAGCGGGCAAAATATTTTGTCCACCCATTACGTTTTTTAACGTAGTAGTGGGAAACGTGCGCCTCTGAGAAATAATGAAGTCGGGGCGGAGGGTGCGCGGTGGCTGGTGGGGAAGGGGGGGGCGGTGCCAGGCCGAAATGAAGCGCTTGTGCGTTGCCGGAGTGCAGCGGTCGGGGCGGAGGGGGCGCGCTGGCTGGCGGGGCCGGTGTCGCGCCGAAATAATGCGGCCGGGGCGGGGGGGTCGCGCTGGGATCGAGGCGGAGGGGCTGGCTGCGGGGGGGGCGCGGGGGAGGGGGGGCGGTGCCGTGCCGAAATAAAGCAGCCCAGTCGGGGCTGAAGGGCGCGCTGGCTGATGGGGGAGGGAGGCGGTGCATTGCCGGAATACAGCGGTCGGGGCGGAGGGGGCGCGCTGGCTGGTCGGGCCGGCGCCGCGCCGAAGTAAAGCGGTCGGTGGGGGGCGGGCGCGCTGGTTGGTGGGTGCAGATGTCGGGGCGGAGGGGGCGCGCTGGCTAGTAAAGAAAGAGGGGCAACGCCGTGCCGAGACAAAGCGGTCGAGGCGGAGGGGGCGCGCTGGCTGGCGGGGCCGGCGCCGTGCCGAAATCAAGCGGTCGGGGCGGAGTGGGCGCGCTGGTTGGTGGTCTCAGATGTCGGGGCGGAGGGGGCGCGCTGGCTGGCGGGAGAGGGGGGGCCGCGCCGTGCCGAAATAAAGCGGTCGGGCCGGGAAGGGGCGCGTTGGCTGGTGGAGCCGGTGCCGTGCCGAAATGAAAAGGTCGGGGCGGAGGGGGCGCGCTGGCTGGTCGGGCCGGCGCCGTGCCGATGTAAAGCGGTCGAGGCGGAGAGGGCGCGCCGGTTGGAGGCGGAGGGGTTGGCTGCGCGGGTTGTGCGGGTGGGGGGCGGTGCCATGCCGAAATCAAGCGGTCGGGGCGAGGGAACGCGCTGGCTGGTGGGGGAGGGGGGCTGTGCCGTGCCGAGATAAAGCGGTCGGGGCGGAGGGGCGCAGGGTGGGGGGGCCGGCACCGTGCCGAAATGGACAAATCGAGGCGGAGGGGTTGGCTGCGGGGGGGGGCGCGGAGGGGGGGGCGGTGCGGTGCCGAAAGAAGTCGGGGCGGATGGGGCGCTCTGGCTGGTGAGAGAGAGGGGGCGGTGCCGTGCCAACATAAAGCGGTCGGGGCGGAGGGGGCGCGCTGGCTGGTCGGACCGGTGCCGTGCCGAAATAAAGCGGCCGAGGCGGAGGGGGCGCGCTGGTTGGTGGGACTCGTGCCATGCCGAAGCAAAGCGGTCGGGGCGGAGGGGGCGCGCTGAGGTCGAGGCGTTGGGGCTGGCTGCGCGGGGGGGGGTGCAGAGGGGGCTGGTGTTATGCCGAAATCAAGAAATCGGGGCGGAGGGAACGCGCTGGCTGGTGGCGGAGAGGGGGCGGTGCCGTGCCGAAATTAAGCGGTCGGGGCGGAGGTGGCGCAGGGTGGGGGGACAGGTGCCGCGCCGAAATACAAAGATCGAAGCGGACGACCCGGCTGCGCAGGGGGCGCGGGGGGTGGGGGGGCGTGCCGAAATAAAGAAGTCGGAGCGGGGGGGGCGCGCTGGCTGGTGGGACCAGTGCCGTGCCGAAATGCAGCGGTCGGGGCGGGGGGTGCGCGCTGGTTGAAGAGGCCAATGCCGTGCCGAAATTTAGCAGTTGGGGCGGAGGGCCCGCGCTGGGGTCGATGCCGAGGGGCCGGCTGCGCGGGGGGTGGGGGGGGCGGTGCGGTGCCGAAATATAGCGGTCGGGGCGGAGGGGGCGCGCTGGCTGGTGGGAGGGAGGGGGCGGTGCCGTGCCGAAATCAAGCGGTCGGGGCGGAGAGAGCGCGCCGGCTGGTGGGACCGGTGCCATGCCGAAATACAGCGGTCGGGGCGGAGTGGGCGCGCTTTTTGGTGGGACCAGTGCTGCGCCGAAATCAAGCGGTCGGGGCGGAGGTGGCGCGCTGGCTGGTGGGGGAGAAGGGGCTTGTGCGTTGCCGAAGTAAAGCGGTCGGGACGGAAGGGGCGCGCTGGCTGGTGGGACCGGTGCCGTGCCGAAATGCAGCGGTCGGGGGGGAGGGGGCGCGCTGGCTGGTCCGACCAGTGCCGTGCCGAAATAGAACGGTCGGGCGGAGGGGGCGGGGCTGGGGTCGAGGCGGAGGCTGGGCTGCGCGGGGAGTGCAAAGGGGGGGGGGGGGGCGGTGCCGTGCTGAAGTAAAGCGGTCGGGGCGGAAGGGGCGCGTTGGGGTCGAGGCGGACGAGCTGGCTGGGCGGGGGGGTTGCGGGGGGGGGCCCGGTGCCGTGCTGAAAAACAAATCGGAGCGGAGGTGGCACGCTGGATGGTGGGCTGGCTGAACTGGCTGGTGGGGAAGGGGCGCTGGCCGGTACGGTGCCGAAATATAGCTGTCGGGGCGGAGGGGGCGCGCTGGCTGGTGGGGGAGACGGGGCGGCGCCGTGCCGAAATCAAGCGGTCGGGGCCCAGGGGGCGCGCTGGCTGGTGGGACCGGTGCCGTGCCGAAATCAAGCGGTCTGGGTGGAGGGGGCGCTGGCTGGTGGGACCTGCCGAAGGGGCGCGCTGGCTGGCGGGCTGGCTACGCTGGCTGGCGGGGGAGGGATGCGGAGGGTCGAGGGGCTGCTTCGGCATGGCTGCTTTAGAACAGAAGGTGGATGCGGAGGGGGCGCGTTGGGGAGGTGGGAGCCTAGGGGCCGCATCGACCGGTGCCGTGCCGAAGTACAATCGTCGGAGCACTAGACACACTGTGCAAGATAGTAACGTACACCAATCGCATACACGAAGATCAGGTATGAATTACACAAACCAACAGTGTACACGACAGCAGCGAACAGCAAAAACACACGCACACCCAGAATACGTATCAAAAGCAGACGACGGAGTCGCGCACACATGCTACACATTGAGAACAGTAACATTGCAAACGCCACGAACATATACCAAGCACGCGCAGTAACAACATACGTATATAACAATCATCCGGAACGGACACTGCCGACATACAGGAATCACGAAATTCAGCACCCGCCACAAAGAACAGACATGAAGAGCAGTCACCGATCACATACACAAATCAGCAATGTACATCAATAGCAGACGCCCTGACCATACATCAGCAATGTACACTGACAGCATGCACCAAAGGCATGCACAACGATCGTGTTCTAAGCTGAGGCGCCAAAACTATACATTTTGACCAGACAGCTAGAAAATACATGAATCATATACGTCAAGTAAGCACACCAAGGTCACACATCAATAATATACACCTGCTATACATTGGAACTCCTTTGTGGGGATCGCTCGAAGCAGAATCACATATTGTCATCTGTTTGGGTTAGGGTGACAGGTGGACAGACGCCTCCAGAGACATCTGCAGAGCCTCCAGTGATCCCTGGCGGCTTCGGGGGAGGGGGGGGCCAGCATCCGCCTCGAGGAGGTGGCGCCAGCCCTCCCCCCCACCGTTGGCCTTCGGACCCGAGCTGTGCAGTCGCAGGCGCGCGATGATGATTGCATGCAGGATCAAAAACCGTCCTGGGGAATGGGTCGAGATCTCTAGGGGCTGTCGTTATGAAGAATCATGACGCCGGGGGTCTGGGGAGGTAGGGGTGCAGCAGGCGAGTCAGGCTCGGGGTTGGCTGGGGTCGGCAGCGGGGGAGGAGGGTTGGAGGAAGGTGAGGTTCAGAGACGATGGTGTCTTCAGCTCCCACGGTGGCGCAGGACAGCCAGCGCATCGACATCCTGCTGAACGCCACTCCGCGCCGCGACAGCAGAGGCAACGTGACTGGGGTCGTCGGCGTGGGGCAGGACATCACCCATCTCCGGAGGGTCGTGACCGAGAGCAAGACGGTTGCGGACGACCTGTCCCGATTAATCGAGACTGCAAATGCTCCAATATTTGGTGTCGACGTGAACGGGCTCGTGACGGAGTGGAACAGGAAGGCAGCTCAGCTAACACTGTTTTCGAAGGAGGAAGCTGTAGGGAGGAATCTGGTGAACGACTTTATCAGGGGAGACTATCAGAAGGACGTCCAAGCGGTCTTGACCCAAGCGTGCTCTGGTTCGGAGACGGCGAACTTCGAGTTCCCTCTGATGACGAAGGACAACCAGCGCATCGAAATCCTGCTGAATGCCACGCCACGCCGCGACGGCAATGGCAAGGTGACTGGAGTGGTCGGCGTGGGCCAGGACATCACGCACCTGCAGAAGGTCTTGACCGAGAGTAAGACTATCGCAGACGATCTGTCACGATTGATCGAGACCGCCAACGCCCCCATCTTCGGTGTTGACGTGGATGGGCGCGTCACGGAGTGGAATCGCAAGGCAGCCGAGTTGACACTGTTCACGAAGGAGGAGACGTTGGGGAGGAACTTGGTGACGGACTTCATCACGGAGGACTACAGGAAACAAGTCCAAGCAGTTCTGACCCAGGCATGTGCAGGCTCGGAGACGGCGAACTTCGAGTTCCCTCTGATGACGAAGGACAACAAGCGCATCGACGTCCTACTGAACGCCACTCCTCGTCGTGATGGATATGGTAATGTGACTGGAGTGGTCGGCGTAGGGCAAGACATCACGCACCTGCAGAAGGTTTTGACAGAAAGCAAAACTATCGCAGACGATCTCTCTCGATTGATCGAGACCGCCAACGCCCCCATCTTCGGTGTTGACGTGGATGGGCGCGTCACGGAGTGGAATCGGAAGGCAGCCGAGTTGACATTGTTCACGAAGGAGGAGACATTGGGGAGGAATTTGGTGACGGACTTCATCACGGAGGACTACCGGAAACAAGTCCAAGCAGTTCTGACACAGGCATGTGCAGGCTCGGAGACGGCGAACTTCGAGTTCCCTCTGATGACGAAGGACAACAAGCGCATCGACGTCTTACTGAACGCCACTCCTCGTCGTGATGGATCTGGTAATGTGACTGGAGTGGTCGGTGTAGGGCAAGACATCACGCACCTGCAGAAGGTCTTGACAGAAAGCAAAACTATCGCAGACGATCTGTCTCGACTGATCGAGACTGCCAACGCCCCCATCTTCGGTGTTGATGTGGATGGGCGCGTCACGGAGTGGAACCGGAAGGCAGCCGAGTTGACATTGTTCACGAAGGATGAGACATTGGGGAGGAATTTGGTGACGGATTTCATCACGGAGGACTACCGGAAAGGCGTCCAGGCAGTTCTGACCCAGGCGTGTGCAGGCTCGGAGACGGCGAACTTCGAGTTCCCTCTGATGACGAAGGACAACAAGCGCATCGACGTCTTACTGAACGCCACTCCTCGTCGTGATGGATACGGTAATGTGACTGGAGTGGTCGGCGTAGGGCAAGACATCACGCACCTGCAGAAGGTCTTGACAGAAAGCAAAACTATCGCAGACGATCTGTCTCGACTGATCGAAACTGCTAACGCCCCCATCTTCGGTGTGGACGTGGATGGGCGCGTCACGGAGTGGAACCGGAAGGCAGCTGAATTGACACTGTTCACGAAGGAGGAGACATTAGGGAGGAAATTGGTGGAGGACTTCATCACGGAGGACTACCGGAAACAAGTCCAAGCAGTTCTGACGCAGGCATGTGCAGGCTCGGAGACGGCGAACTTCGAGTTCCCTCTGATGACGAAGGACAACAAGCGCATCGACGTCCTACTGAACGCCACTCCTCGTCGTGATGGATCTGGTAATGTCACTGGGGTTGTTGGCGTAGGGCAAGACATCACACACTTGCAGAAGGTCTTGACTGAAAGCAAAACTATCGCAGACGATCTGTCTCGATTAATCGAGACCGCCAACGCCCCCATCTTCGGTGTTGACGTGGATGGGCGCGTCACGGAGTGGAACCGGAAGGCAGCTGAGTTGACGTTGTTTTCGAAGGAGGAGACCATGGGTAGGAATTTGGTGACGGACTTCATCACGGAGGACTACCGGAAACAAGTCCAAGCAGTTCTGACCCAGGCATGTGCAGGCTCGGAGACGGCGAACTTCGAGTTCCCTCTGATGACGAAGGACAACAAGCGCATCGACGTCTTACTGAACGCCACTCCTCGTCGTGATGGATATGGTAATGTGACTGGAGTGGTCGGCGTAGGTCAAGACATCACGCATCTGCAGAAGGTCCTGACTGAAAGCAAAACTATCGCTGACGATCTGTCTCGATTGATCGAGACCGCCAACGCCCCCATCTTCGGTGTTGACGTGGATGGGCGCGTCACGGAGTGGAACCGGAAGGCAGCCGAGTTGACATTGTTCACGAAGGAGGAGACATTGGGAAGGAATTTGGTGACGGACTTCATCACGGAGGACTACCGGAAACAAGTCCAAGCAGTTCTGACGCAGGCATGTGCAGGTTCGGAGACGGCGAACTTCGAGTTCCCTCTGATGACGAAGGACAACAAGCGCATCGACGTCCTACTGAACGCCACTCCTCGTCGTGATGGATATGGCAATGTGACTGGAGTGGTCGGCGTAGGGCAAGACATCACGCACCTGCAGAAAGTCTTGACTGAAAGCAAAACTATCGCAGACGATCTGTCTCGATTGATCGAGACCGCCAACGCCCCCATCTTCGGTGTTGACGTGGATGGGCGCGTCACGGAGTGGAACCGGAAGGCAGCCGAGTTGACATTGTTCACGAAGGAGGAGACATTGGGAAGGAATTTGGTGACGGACTTCATCACGGAGGACTACCGGAAACAAGTCCAAGCAGTTCTGACCCAGGCATGTGCAGGCTCGGAGACGGCGAACTTCGAGTTCCCTCTGATGACGAAGGACAACAAACGCATCGACGTCTTACTGAACGCCACTCCTCGTCGTGATGGATATGGTAATGTGACTGGAGTGGTCGGCGTAGGTCAAGACATCACGCACCTGCAGAAAGTTCTGACTGAAAGCAAGACTATCGCAGACGATCTCTCTCGATTGATCGAATTGCCTCCTGGCGACTGCCGCCTCTGCCCACAATGCTGAGAGCACTCATGCATAGTTTCATTATCCTGTCAGTGTTACCTTCCATATTTTTTTTGTTGGGACTTGCCAGCGCCGCACTCCAGCAATACTGGCCCGCGTCATTTGGCATTCCAGAGTAGTGTAAAGTATATGGGGCCCTCGGCTCGTTCTACCACCGTGCCTGAGTCGTGGACAATGGGCTTCTTGGAGGCCTGCAGGGTCTCGAGGAAGGCCTTTGGGGGGCATCTCGCGGGTCTCTTGGAGGACACTCGGAGGCTTATCGGGGGCATGGGGACCTCCTGGGGGCCTCGGACACTTTCTGGGGGGCGTGGAGGCGGTGTCGGGGGCCACCTTGGGGTGAAGGATCCCAGTGGCTCCTTCGAGCTTGCACCTCTCGGTGAGACCCCGTTTCGCTCCTTACCGTCGCCGTTCTGCACAGCTAAAAGGTCACACTGGTTCCGAGTCTGCGGCTCGCACGCCGTGGGGCAGGGCCGTATTGAGCTCGCTTCGTGGGAGTCATGCTGGGCGCCAATGGGGAAACGAACGCGCACATCTCGCAGCAAGGGAGGAGGACACTGGTCTGGGCTACCTAGATGGGGTCCGAGTAGATGGGGTCGGAGGATCGCGCCACATCGCCGCTGCATCGGCGATGCGGCTCGATGTGGCGCCCGATCTTCTCAACGCTGGCGTCGCCGATGCATCGCCGATGTATCGGCGCTACGGCGAAATCCTTCGGCCCATTCTATTCGGACCACATCTAGAAGGCCTCTAGTCATGCTGGGCCTCCATGGGGAAACGAGCGCGAAAATCTCGCAACCAGGGAGGAGGACAATGATTGAATCTTGATCTCCGCGGCTCTCTGCTGGCGGACGACGAGTCAGGAGGAGCGAGTTTTGGGTAATATGAGCGCTCCTAGTGTTCTCTGGGGCCGTCTTGGGCGACTCTTCCGATGCCTCCGAACAATCATCGACCGTCGTTGCCTCGTCTTCGCCATCTTTGGGGGCTCATGGCGGCGTCTGTGAGGTCTCTTTGGGCCGTCGTAGCCCTTCGTGGGCCATCTTGGCTCTCGGTGCGACGGTTCATCGCCGGGGCCCTGGAGGGCCCACGGCAGCGCGGGGACTAGCTGATGCGGAGCGCTAGTGGGCCAGCCGATTGGAATAAGCGAGGCCGCCCTTCGTTCTTGCTACAGTCGGGGCCCTGAAGAAGGAACCCTTTTCGTTGGGGAGGGGCCCGCTCGTTCCGTAAGTGTGTTTCGCAGCTTGCCTCAGGTGTTCCTTCTGTTTTCGATGTGGAATCGAAGTTTCACTTGTGGAAAAACTGGGGCCTCGTTCCTTAATGGAGGATGACGATTAATAAATGACCGGGGGGTCGTGTTCACGCGGCGGCGCCCGGGATGATGATTAGAAAAAGCCGGCCCCGGGCCGGGAAACTATTTTTTGAATCGTCCCCCCCCCCCGCCGTCCTCGGGCGCGCGCCCCCCCCGGTGACGAAACACCGCACAGGCGAGCCCTGCTTCTGAGCGTTCCCCCCCGGTGTGGGAAACTATGTTTTTGATCGTTCCCCCCTCCTTTTTCTCTTCATCGTCATCCCACATTGTTTGGGGTTCCTTGGGTCCACGCCCCGGCCGTGCGCTGCCACGGCCGAGGCCACACGCGCTCCGAGCTGCCCTCGCACGCCGGGGGCCGCTCACGCCGGGGGGCCCCGCCGCACTCCGCCCGCAGGCCGGGGGGCACCGCGCGGGGCCGGCAGGCGGGGAAGGTCCGCGCCAGCCAGCGGATCGCGCCGTGGCGGCGCCGGGGCCTCTTTCAGGAGGGAAAGAAGCACAAAGACACAATGAATCGTCGATTCCCCAGAAAGTATTGGAAAATAGGGGAAGTGGGGGGGAAGACAGAAGGCCAGAAAATATGGGAAAATATGGGGGATCCTTTTATTTGTGTGTATTTGTGTGCCCCAGGGCCCCTTCACTCTTGGGGGCCTCTGGAGGGCGTCTTGGCTTGGCATCGCTCGGACGTGGGCATTTTTTCCTCGGCGAGGACCATCCTGGACCATGGAGCAAACAAAAAACACGCACGAGACCGAAACATGCACGGGAAAGGGACGTCCGAGCGATGGCGAGCTGGGGGCCTCCCAGAAGGCCTCTTGGGGGGCCTCTTGGGGGCATCTCGGGGGGCCTCTTGAGGGCTTCTTCGGGCCTTCTGCGGGCTTCCTGGAGCGACAACCTTGACACGTCGGTGTGTGCTTCCGCCCTTTGGGTCCATCTTGGCCTCTCGGGGCCTTCTTGGGGCCCTCTGGGGCCGTCTTGGAGGCCTCTTGGGCCGTCTTGGGGCTATGTTGGGGCTCTCCTGGGGGGCTCTTGGGCCATCTTGGGGCGATCTTGGGGGCCTCTGGGCAATCGTGGAGCGTCGGAAGCTCGAAATGGCGAGAACGAATCTTTTTTGGAAACGAAGGGAAAACACTGATTTTCGCCCGCGTAGGCATTCCTGGGGGTCCCCTTAGCGCCCTCCTGGGGCGCCCTGGCGGCCTCTTGGGCCCTCCCGTCCCCTCTTGGAGCCGTCTTGGGCCGTCCGGGGCCCCTCTTGGGAGGACTGCCGGGCCCGTCTTGGAGAGTCGCCGTGGAGCCCTCTTTGCACACCAGGGCGGGACCTACACGCTGTGTTGCTGGACTTCGGCTGTGTTTTTTTTTGTTCGTTGTGGCAGGGAGGTACTGCGAATCCCTCATTGACCGACCCCCCCTAAAACACCAGACCCCCCTCCAAATGTGACACTATTTTTTCGGACCCCCCTCTTCGATAGGGCGCCTCAATAAACTTGACCCCCTAAGCTCCAATCCAAAGACAGCGCCCTAATAAGCCAGACCCCCCCAGTTACAAAAGAGGCGCCCGAAACGCCGGACCCCAGGGGGGCGATTCATGTAGGGGATTTGGAGCAGGTCCAGCCCTGTCGAACACCACGCTGGGGCCACCAGTGGGCCGCCTCAAAGGAGGCTCGGCTTTTCTTCCCCTCTTCTTCGTTCGTCTGTCGTCCGTCGCTCGTCTGTCGCGTCGTGCCACTGGGCTCCGCCTGCGCTGGTAAAACAGTGCTGGGCGGTCTCGCCGTGGCCCGCGGCCTGCGCCCCTGTCGGGAGACCCAGACCCCCGACGTAATGATTTTTTCATTACGTCGACCCCCAGAGGTCCCGACCCTTTCCCCATGACCGGCTTTGCATCCTGAGTCGTTTTTTGACGCTCCCGAGGCCCGGTGAGGGCCCCCAGAGGCCGAAAAGTAGGAAAAACCTTCCGTCATGATTTTTTCATTACTCGAGGGGGTCTGGGGAGCCTTCGGCCCTCCGGGGGCCCAGGCTCGCGCTCGCGCGCAGCGGGGGGCCCCCTGCCGGGGAGGCACCCTGCCTGCCTGCCGGGGTGCCCAAGGGTCTCTCTTGGGCCTCGGTGGCTCTGCCACGGAGGCCGTGGCGTTCCCACACCCGAGGGGATCGAGGGGCGTCTTGGGGTCTCAGGGTGGCGCTCCTGGTGAAAAGTGTCGGGGGAGCGTAAGGCCCGGGTTTGCCAGGACTCGGGCTCGCCATCGTTTTCTGACGGCCGCGCCTCGGATTCTGACGGGGAGGAGTTTCGTGTGGGAGGTCTGCGGCGGGAGGCCTCGTCAAAGTGCAGGCTCGGCCTCGCCATTTTTTTGACGACCTCGTCGGGGATTTCCGGGTTCCCTGTACCCAGGTCTTACGTCCCCCTGAAAGGGACGTCTTGGGGTCTCAGGGTGGGGTTCCTGGTGAAAAGAGGTTTCTTGTGGTCGGGCCCCTACCGAACGGCCAGCTCGTGCGGCGTGGGCGCGCGGGCGGCGCCGGCGGAGGCGTTCCAGGTTGACTTTTTTTGCGACGCGGGAGCACGGATTGGCACGGCAGCGCCACCGGACCCCTCAGTCCTCCTCCTCCTCCTCCTCCTCCTCCGCCTCCTCCCCCTCCCCCTCCTCCTCCTCCTCCTCCTCCTCCTCCTCCGCCTCCTCCTGAACGATCGGGGCCGCGATCGATTCATGGTTGAACAATCGGCGCGGCGATATATACCCTTGGGCGCGCCAGCGCCGCGCAAACCTTCCCTGGGCTGTAGCAGGCCTTCCGGTCTGCCGACCTATCCTGCCTCAAGCCTTCCACTATTGGAAAGGTGTCCCAAGACCTTCGGGTCGGCACGAACGAAATGGGTACGGAAATAATGGGTACAACGTCCAACATCAGTTCCTGTCCATGTTGAGCAGAACTCGCTGTCCGCGCCGCCGCGGCCTGTGTCCATTTGAGACAAAAGGCCGCCTGCCCAACCGCGGCCGCTGTTGGTTTGGGACAGCATTTGTTGTTGGGCGTTGTGCCCATTTTTTCAGTACCCATTTCGGGCGTCTGGGGACTATTGTTTTTTATGATTGTTAGACTATTTTGGGGCATGTTTTGATCAGTTCTTATGTTTCGCCCAACATTCGCCTGTAGGGGGACACGTCCGGTCCGACCTGTCTCAAGCCTTCCGATGCTGGGTTGCTTTCCCAAGACCGCAAGGGTCGGGGGTGGACAGAACCCCCAACAGTGACACGTCGATTTGTGAATTGTCCGTTTTCGGTTCTCGAGAGGGCGCCGCGGCCGTTGTTTTCCAGGCTTGCGCCCGCCAGGTTTGGGCCTCAGGTAGTTTTCACCAAACCACGTCTTACTAAAGGGGTCCGTCCATCCCCGAAAGGGGCTCAACGCTGCCAGGGCCCCCCGCGGGGGGGCCCGCCCTGCCGGGAGCCCCTGTGGGAGCGCGGGAGCCACGGCGCGTGCCCCGGAGAGGGGGCAGACACCGGCACGCCAGCGTGTGCGGGGCAGGACTGCCGCAGCGCGACGGGGCGGCGCCGGCCCAAAAGTCGCGCAAAGCCGCATCGGTGATGAGCCCGTTTGCCACCACCGCCACCACAAGTTGGAGGAGGGCGAGGAGGAGGAGGGCGAGGAGGGGGAGGACGGAGAGGAGGAGGAGGAGGAGGAGGAGGAGGAGGAGGAGGACGAAGAGGAGGACGAAGAGGAGGAGGAGGAGGAGGAGGAGGAGGAGAGGAAGGAGGAGGAGGAGGAGGAGGAGGAGAAGTGCGAGGAGGAGGAGGAGGCGGAGGAGGAGGACGACGAAGAGGAGGAGTAGGAGGAGGAGGACGAAGAGGAGGAGGAGGAGGAGGAGCCCTCCCTCCAACTTGTGGTGGTGGTAGTGGTGGAAGCTACGCCCATCAGCATCTGTAAAGTCCATGATCTCTTCCTCACGGGGGCCGCTTTAGGGTTCTCTTCGGGCCCTCTGAGCGCGTCTTCGGCGCCTTGGGTCAGGCGATTGCAAACATGTATTAAGGGGTTGCGGTTTTGCGACGGGCCCCCATACCGCTACACTTCGCTCATTTTCCCTTTTTGGACCTTCTTGGAGGCCCTCGCTGCCACCGCTGGATTCGCCTCGAAATCCTTGTCAGAACGCACCCCAGGAGAGGTCTGGGGAGTAGCGGTATCGGTACCTTTTTGTTTTCCCAGGTCGGTCGACGGCCGTTCGAGCGTGGGGTGGGGTATGCTAATAGGACGCAGATCAGTAATATCCCCCTCATCGAAGTTGAGGAAGGGGCTCGTGAAAGGCAGAACGCGCACTCCCTCGGCACACGTCCAGAGGGCTGCTTGGACTGCGAGGGCCTCGCGTCCAGGCTCGAACCATGCTCTCTTCCACAGGCTGCCCGTGCAGTGTGTCTTCTTCGGGCTCCTGGTCCCCCCAGAATAAAACTACGGTATGAACTTTGCTTCCTAGACCAGTGGCCTCAAAGCGGGCCTAGCAGATCGAGACCGCCAACGCCCCCATCTTCGGCGTTGACGTGGATGGGCGTGTCACAGAGTGGAACAGGAAGGCAGCCGAATTGACATTGTTCACAAAAGAGGAGACGTTGGGGAGGAACTTGGTGAAGGACTTCATCACTGAGGAATACCGGAAAGACGTCCAAGCAGTTCTGACCCAGGCCTGCGCAGGGTCTGAGACGGCTAATTTCGAGTTCCCTCTGATGACGAAGGATAACAAGCGCATCGACGTCTTGCTGAACGCCACTCCTCGTCGGGACGGCAGCGGCAATGTGACTGGAGTGGTCGGTGTGGGTCAAGACATCACGCATTTGCAGAAGGTCCTGACTGAAAGCAAGACTATCGCAGACGATCTTTCCCGATTGATCGAGACCGCCAACGCCCCCATCTTCGGCGTTGACGTGGACGGACGCGTCACGGAGTGGAACAGGAAGGCAGCCGAGTTGACATTGTTCTCGAAGGAGGAAACGCTGGGGAGGAATTTGGTGACGGACTTCATCACGGAGGATTATCGGAAAGACGTCCAAGCAGTTCTGACCCAGGCCTGCGCAGGGTCTGAGACTGCTAATTTCGAGTTCCCTCTGATGACGAAGGACAACAAGCGCATCGACGTCCTGCTCAACGCCACTCCTCGTCGAGACGGCAGCGGCAACGTGACTGGAGTTGTCGGCGTGGGGCAAGACATCACGCATTTACAGCAGGTCCTGACTGAAAGCAAGACTATCGCAGACGATCTTTCCCGATTGATCGAGACCGCCAACGCCCCAATCTTCGGCGTTGATGTGGACGGACGCGTCACGGAGTGGAACAGGAAGGCAGCCGAGCTGACATTGTTCACGAAGGAGGAGACATTGGGGAGGAACTTAGTGACGGACTTCATCACAGAGGATTACCGCAAAGACGTCCAAGCTGTTCTGACCCAGGCCTGCGCAGGGTCTGAGACGGCTAATTTCGAGTTCCCTCTGATGACGAAGGACAACAAGCGCATCGACGTCCTGCTCAACGCCACTCCTCGTCGAGACGGCAGCGGCAACGTGACCGGTGTGGTCGGTGTGGGTCAAGACATCACGCATCTGCAGAAGGTCCTGACTGAAAGCAAGACGATCGCAGACGATCTTTCCCGATTGATCGAGACCGCCAACGCCCCCATCTTCGGCGTTGACGTGGACGGACGCGTCACGGAGTGGAACAGGAAGGCAGCCGAGTTGACATTGTTCTCGAAGGAGGAGACGCTGGGGAGGAATTTGGTGACGGACTTCATCACGGAGGATTATCGGAAAGACGTCCAAGCAGTTCTGACCCAGGCCTGCGCAGGGTCTGAGACTGCTAATTTCGAGTTCCCTCTGATGACGAAGGACAACAAGCGCATCGACGTCCTGCTCAACGCCACTCCTCGTCGAGACGGCAGCGGCAACGTGACTGGAGTTGTCGGCGTGGGGCAAGACATCACGCATTTGCAGAAGGTCCTGACTGAAAGCAAGACGATCGCAGACGATCTTTCCCGATTGATCGAGACCGCCAACGCCCCCATCTTCGGCGTTGACGTGGACGGACGCGTCACAGAGTGGAACAGGAAGGCAGCCGAGTTGACATTGTTCTCAAAGGAGGAGACGTTGGGTAGGAATTTGGTGACGGACTTCATCACTGAGGAATACCGGAAAGACGTCCAAGCAGTTCTGACCCAGGCCTGCGCAGGGTCTGAGACTGCTAATTTCGAGTTCCCCCTGATGACGAAGGATAACAAGCGCATCGACGTCCTGCTAAACGCCACTCCTCGTCGGGACGGCAGCGGCAACGTGACTGGAGTGGTCGGTGTGGGTCAAGACATCACGCATCTGCAGAAGGTCCTGACTGAAAGCAAGACGATCGCAGACGATCTTTCCCGATTGATCGAGACCGCCAACGCCCCCATCTTCGGCGTTGACGTGGACGGACGCGTCACAGAGTGGAACAGGAAGGCAGCCGAGTTGACACTATTCTCCAAGGAAGAGACGTTGGGTAGGAATTTGGTGACGGACTTCATCACGGAGGATTATCGGAAAGACGTCCAAGCAGTTCTGACCCAGGCCTGCGCAGGGTCTGAGACTGCTAATTTCGAGTTCCCTCTGATGACAAAGGACAACAAGCGCATCGACGTCCTGCTCAACGCCACTCCTCGTCGGGACGGCAGCGGTAACGTGACTGGAGTGGTCGGTGTGGGTCAGGACATCACGCATCTGCAGAAGGTCCTGACTGAAAGCAAGACTATCGCAGACGATCTTTCCCGATTGATCGAGACCGCCAACGCCCCCATCTTCGGCGTCGACGTGGATGGGCGCGTCACGGAGTGGAACAGGAAGGCAGCCGAGTTGACATTGTTCTCGAAGGAGGAGACGCTGGGGAGGAATTTGGTGACGGACTTCATCACTGAGGACTACCGAAAAGACGTCCAAGCAGTTCTGACCCAGGCCTGCGCAGGGTCTGAGACGGCGAACTTCGAGTTCCCTCTGATGACGAAGGACAACAAGCGCATCGACGTCCTGCTTAACGCCACTCCTCGTCGGGACGGCCGTGGCAACGTGACTGGAGTGGTCGGAGTGGGGCAGGATATCACGCATTTGCAGAAGGTCCTGACTGAAAGCAAGACTATCGCAGACGATCATTCCCGATTGATCGAGACCGCCAACGCCCCCATCTTCGGCGTTGACGTTGATGGGCGCGTCACGGTGTGGAACAGGAAGGCAGCCGAGTTGACATTGTTCTCGAAGGAGGAGACGTTGGGAAGGAATTTGGTGAAGGACTTCATCACGGAGGACTACCGAAAAGACGTCCAAGCAGTTCTGACCCAGGCCTGTGCAGGGTCTGAGACGGCGAACTTCGAGTTCCCTCTGATGACTAAGGATAACCAGCGCATCGACGTCCTGCTCAACGCCACTCCTCGTCGGGACGGCAGCGGCAACGTGACTGGAGTGGTCGGTGTGGGTCAAGACATCACGCATTTGCAGAAGGTCCTGACTGAAAGCAAGACTATCGCAGACGATCTTTCCCGATTGATCGAGACCGCCAACGCCCCCATCTTCGGCGTTGACGTGGACGGGCGCGTCACAGAATGGAACAGGAAGGCAGCCGAGTTGACATTGTTCTCGAAGGAAGAGACGTTGGGTAGGAATTTGGTCACGGACTTCATCACTGAGGATTACCGGAACGACGTCCAAGCAGTTCTGACCCAGGCCTGCGCAGGGTCTGAGACGGCTAATTTCGAGTTCCCTCTGATGACAAAGGACAACAAGCGCATCGACGTCCTGCTTAACGCCACTCCTCGTCGCGACGGCCGTGGCAACGTAACCGGAGTGGTCGGAGTGGGGCAAGACATCACGCATTTGCAGAAGGTCTTGACTGAAAGCAAGACTATCGCAGACGATCTTTCCCGATTGATCGAGACCGCCAACGCCCCCATCTTCGGCGTTGACGTGGATGGGCGCGTCACGGAGTGGAACAGGAAGGCAGCCGAATTGACACTGTTCACGAAGGAGGAGACATTAGGAAGGAAATTGGTGGAGGACTTCATCACGGAGGACTACCGGAAACAAGTCCAAGCAGTTCTGACGCAGGCATGTGCAGGGTCTGAGACAGCGAACTTCGAGTTCCCTCTGATGACGAAGGACAACAAGCGCATCGACGTCCTGCTTAACGCCACTCCTCGTCGTGATGGATATGGTAATGTGACTGGGGTGGTGGGCGTGGGTCAAGACATCACACACTTGCAGAAGGTCTTGACTGAAAGCAAGACTATCGCAGACGATCTGTCCCGATTAATCGAGACCGCCAACGCCCCCATCTTCGGCGTTGACGTGGATGGGCGCGTCACGGAGTGGAACAGGAAAGCAGCTGAGCTGACACTGTTCTCGAAAGAGGAGACGCTGGGAAGAAATTTGGTGACGGACTTCATCACAGAGGATTACCGGAAAGGCGTCCAAGCAGTTCTGACGCAGGCATGTTCAGGGTCTGAGACGGCGAATTTCGAGTTCCCTCTGATGACGAAGGACAACAAGCGCATCGACGTCTTGCTAAACGCCACTCCTCGTCGTGATGGATATGGTAATGTGACTGGGGTCGTTGGCGTTGGTCAAGACATCACGCATCTGCAGAAGGTCCTGACCGAAAGCAAGACTATCGCAGACGATCTTTCCCGATTGATCGAGACCGCCAACGCCCCCATCTTCGGCGTTGACGTGGACGGGCGCGTCACGGAGTGGAACAGGAAGGCGGCGGACTTGACATTGTTCTCGAAGGAGGAGACGTTGGGGAGGAATTTGGTCACGGACTTCATCACGGAGGATTATCGGAAAGATGTCCAAGCAGTTCTGACCCAGGCCTGCGCAGGGTCTGAGACGGCTAATTTCGAGTTCCCTCTGATGACGAAGGATAGCAGGGAGATGTATCAAATCGTTGTCCTGTTTTCTCTCTGTCCCAAGCACTTGAAGTGTCGAGCGCTGACAGGCCCCGAGGCCACTCCACTTCCAATCCAACCGAGGATTTCAAAGCCAGATCCCAGAGCATTTGAAGGGGACCCCTTGGAATCAGAGTTGGGTCGGTGGCTCCAGTCCGCAGCGAAGCCACACACTTGTAGGCCTGCGTCGTCGACAGGACAAAGGCACCCAGACATGCGACGTCCTGATTTTTTCAGGACGGCGTCCCTCATCCTGAGTCAAATTTTCGACCCCTAGAGGCCCTCGCCCCAGGACCGTCAACAACACGATTGAAAATGAAAAAACGGTCCCGGGGAAAGGGTCTGGACTTCGGGGACGCCGTCCTGAACAAAAGTCAGGACGTCGCATGTCTGGGAGTCGCTTCTTGACGCTCCCGAGGCCCGGCGGGGGCCCCCGAAGGCCGAAAACTGCCAAGAGCCGCCTGTGCTCAAATTTTTGTTGAGGCGTCGGATCTCAGGGTACAGTGAGCGGCTTGAATAAGGAACACTGACTTTTCAAAAGGGGCTCGGTCGTTCCTTAGGTTTCCATGCGTTATTTACAGTTCCCTACGCGTTATGTGTTATTTATCGTTCCTTACGCGTTATTCCTTAAGATAAAAAAAGGGGCTTCGTTCCTTATTTATCGTTCCTTAGGTCAGGCCGATTAGTGTAACGCCCCCGAGCTGGTGCACAGACCCTGCCGGTCCAGGCGGCCAGAGGGGCTCCTTCCGAGCTCGCAGTCCGAAGGCCGGGGGGGCCCAGCCAGCGAGCCCATCCTCGGGCGCGAGGGCCGCCGCTTGCACCCGAGCTCCCTCGCCAGGCCCTCCTCCTCCTCCTCCTCCTCCTCCTCCTCCTCCTCCTGAGCGACTTTCGCTCCTCCTCCCCCTCCTCCTCCTCCTCCTCCTCCTCCTCCTCCTCCTCCTCCTCCTCATCA